TCGAGACATAACGGCTGATTTTACGATCAAATCAGCTCAGTTGGAGCTTAAAACCAGTTTAAATATACTCGTAAATCTTTTGAACGCGTGCCCACGCGCAAATCACATTACATCTCATCGGTAATCAGGAGAATCACTAATCTTTTACATGTCCTTTAGACATAAAACATCATAATATTTGATTGTAATACGTTTACTTAGCATACTAAAATTTTAATTATTTCGTCATCCAATACCCTTTCAGTTCAAATGAAATCCACGATTTTAATGCAAGCAACGACTAGAAATTACATTTCGTAACGGCCACCCATAGTTACATCAACAAAAACAATGGATTCAATTATCTAAAATGTTAATTCTATTGGGTAAGAACGAGTGATCTTTGATTAAAATTGCTATTGTCGGAATGCATTCCCATGGCCCGCCGTGCGGAAATAATAGTGTAAATGAATCTAAAACGCGTCGTGGCTGGAGGTCACGTGGGCCTATAAATCGCATCCCTCGATAGAACAATTAAAAGACGAGTTGAAAACAATTACGCAACGGTGGCCCTCCGGCTGCTCGTGATATCATAGAATAATTTACGCAAATAGACATTTTGAGATCTTTTTGCGAGTTTTGCGAAATTAAATTGATTTAATCGATACCTTTAAATATAATTTTTACGAGTAGTTCGGTCAAAAAAAATAAGAATCATTTTTACATAAAGTATATTGAATCTTTAATTCACTGTCCAACATTGAGAATTTTCATTATTTTATATGAAGTACCTACATACAATATTTTTGAGAAATATTCTGGCAATCTTGTAAATTTTACTCAATGTAATAAACATTGTAATTAAATAATCTTATTATGAACATTTCTGTTTCACTTATATTATACTCTTTGACATTCAGACATAAATGTAGGCATAGAAATTGATTTAGGTCTTAGAATGCAGATAGTTTATCTCCTAGTAGCTTTGTCTAGTGTTAATCGAAATCAATTGTTTTATGGCCATAAGTCATTTTAATCTTTAATTGAGACTCGTAGACGCATATAACTCCTCAAGGCTATAACTGTAACTTACTTATGTATGCGCCAATAGTCTGATAAAATCGATTGCTATTGATTTTAAAGTAAATATATTATTTCAACGTATAAATTATATAAATTAGAACTTGTCACAAAGTAATAGTATGACATATAAATGCATTATTATTATATTATAACTAGCATTGCCCGCGACTCCGTCCGCGTTCAGATGACCTAAAACCAAATTCTTAGGTTTTACATATTAGTATACTCTTACATTAGCTACAATGGACCATAACTGGTCGTCGTAGCTAGGGCCGACCTCGGCACCACACCCAATAAAATAAGTAAAAATAATACTCTTACATTGCAGTTTTTGTATTTTTTCTCAGAAATGAGACATTTTCCTGCGGTAAAAAGTCCTATATGTTGACCCAGATTACCAGATATCATTATGCCAAATTTCATCAAAATCTATCCAGTGGGTTTTTCGTGATGCGGTAACAGACAGACAGACAAATATTCTAAAAACTGTAGATTCGGCCTCTGTATCGATAATAACGACTATTTCAATAAGATTTTCCAAAAAATACTTAATGTACAGATTAGACTTAGTTACAATTTTATTATATGTATAGATAACATAAGTATCTTTCCTTCCAAGATTACAAACAAATAAAGATAATAGACAGAAAGTGATATTTGCAATTAGATTAACCATTGAAGTGTTCTTACGAAGAAGAAATTAAGTTTTCGCATATGTGATAAAAAACCAAAATCAGATTCGCAAAAAGTTATAGCTAAATTTCCTCAGCTCACGTTGAACGTCCAGGCAATCTGCATCGCGGCTGATCCCATTTTAATGGAGCGCCCGGCAAACAAGCTCCCGAGCCGCTTACGGCAAATCCACCGAGATCCTATGCGCCACTTAGCCCAAACATACTATCTTTTATAGCATCTACTGCCTAAATAAATGGTTGGACGTATTTTTAAGTTGATTGCTTTGTGGGAGATATACGTAAATATATATGAGCAAAGGAATAATAAATTGCAAGTTTCTTCTTTGTATGCATTTCGTTTTTATATCTTCTATACATACCTATAATAAAATTGTAACCAAGCCGAATCTATACATTAAATATTTTTTTGGAAAATCTTATTGAAATAGACTTTATTATCGATACTGAGGCCGAATCTATAGTTTTTAGAATTTGTGTCTGTCTGTCTGTTACGCATCACGCGAGAACCACTGGATAGATTTTGATGAAATTTGGTATGATGATAGCTGGTTATCCAGGTCAACATATAGTAAACTTTTTACCGCGGGAAAATGTCTCTGATTTCTGAGAAAAAATACAAAAACTGCAATGTAAGAGTGTACTAATATGTAAAACCCAAGAATTTGGTTTTTGGTCATCTGAACGCGGGCGGAGCCGCGGGCAAAGCTAGTTTTATATAAGGTATTTGTAATTTTATAGAAATATAATTTAATTATATACATAGCTCATATATGTTGCTCAAATCAGCTTCAATAGCTCATGTGAACAACCGCTAACTATTATAATAAAAACTTATTTATCCTGTAGCAAATAGGAAAATATTCTAAAAGAGTCATTAGTCGATAATATGCGACACATTAAATTGTGTTGCCGTATTGAGACTATTCATTGGACATTAGCTTGGAAGTCGCCATTCGCAATACGTCGGCTACTCTGCCTGTGAATTGCCGCTCGTCACCATTTATTTCACACACTTAAATGCGAATTAATCTGGCATTGTGCAGGTTGAGCGTATTCAACGTTAATATTTCGCTCCATATTGACAATATACTCACAGGTTTTTGATTCATTAGCCGAGAGGCAAACGACCGTCGTATAAAAGATCTGCATCCCTCCATTCGTTCCATCGATGCACCTCCGTTGACCTGAGCGCTAACGAGTCAACGAAGGATAATGAACGCTTTCAAGAGGCTATGACGGCTTCGCTAGAAGAGAGAAAAATGCACAAAGACACAATTAAACCTTTTTACCAACTGACCAGTTGACCAGTATGAGAAAATCGGTAACCCACATATGTATGTTTAAAATAAACGAGTCATTCGGCCTCGATATCTCGTCGAATTGAATAAATCATACTCGATTTGTCTTCCTTAACAGGTAGATTTTTAAAATACATATATTTTTATTCATGCAGACCTAGCTTTACACGAGCAGAAATTGAATCCTAAACACAGGTCTCATAAATAATCGAGCCGGGCGCCTGTAAGACTACATATTGCTCAAAAACAACAACGCGGAAATCATTTCCTTGCAGTTACCTCGCTGGGTGTGTGGATCTAGACTTTTCAGCACGTGTTTGATCCTTATGTTTTTGTATACATCACTGAACTTATCTTTAAATACACTTTTAACCTTGAACTATTTAGTCGGTTAAAAAAATTGGGATTCAAATAATTTAAAAATTACATTAAAATACCATATCCAATAGATACAAATTATGTGACGAAAATATCTTAGTTTTCACTTTAATTCTTATTGGCCTCATTACCATCTCATTATTAACTTTGTTGTATTTATCTATAAGTAGTAGGTAAGTACTAGGATAAAGAGCACCTACTAGTAAAATAATAATACCTACCACATCTTATTGTATTCGGAGCTGTCAAGTAATCGTATACAGCAGAGGCCACGTAGACGTGTATTAATATACATCTTCTAGTTACCTGAAAAATCAAAAACAGAAAATTAGATCACCGTTCAACGAATAATCTGAAAACAGAATATTATTATCAATGACTACGGCATTCAAAATTTTCCACGATTTGTATTCCGTCTGGAGAATTCGCCTCGTCGGATCCCGTAGTTCCGATGCAGGTTATTTTAAATGTAAAGACGGCGCATTGCATAATCACCAACGTGATTCGCCATCAGTATTCCCTAATAAATATTTATTTGTCTCGACTTTTTTATTCGTCATAAACCCTTATAATTTGTGTACTATAACGTGTTATCTATTATAGTTTTTTTTTAATTACTATACCTACAATATTATATTATAACCTAGCTAATGCAGCCAAGCACTAATATAATTTAAATCAAATTTATGTAACATTTTATAAAAAATATGAATAGTAGGTACTCCGTTTGAGATGGAAATTTATTAATTATTCACTTAGACTTTTTAACAAATAGATTGAAGAATACAACGCAGTAGCTTAAACGTTTTTGTTTTTATTTTAATGTATGTCTATATTAAATAACCATTTGTTCTCGTATGCATTAACAATTTGTATGTTATCAATTTTTTCTACCGCGCTGCTGACTTTGATTTTAATATAAAGACAGATCGGGCATTAATTAAGTTGGGCTGATGAGTTCGCTCGCTCGCCGCCTGCCGTCATTACAGGTACATGTAGAGGCGAGAAGTTTTTTTAATTCGTTATTATTCTGTGGCGTAAAGAAATGTTAATTCGAGGCAGCGTGAAATTAACAGCCGCCGCAGTGCCCTTTGTAGGGCCGCGGCGGCTGCCTTAAACACACAACGGGTGACGAGCTACACGGTTCTTTCATACTACACTCTCTTATTTGCACTCCATTACTCTTTTTATATACTTTCATTAAAATCTGAGCCGGAGAGTTGTTAAACATCAATTTACGATTACGCTCCCGAGATCCGCGTGTTACATTAATTACTAATTTACCGAGGTAATCTAAAGTCATCTCTGAGTGTTAGACGGTTTTTGCTCGTCCCAGTACCTCTACCATTGTAAAAACTTTTGTCAGCGATCATTACTGGAGCGTTTACACAACATCTTGCAGAACTTTTATACAACAAAAGGAGAACATTGTATGTTCATTTATTTTAGTTTATATCAAACTTAATTTCGGTCATTGATATGTTTTACAATATAAGAAACAAATGAAACAATTATGAAAACTAATTTGGATGAACAATTGAATATGCATTTTTTTATATTGTTACAGTGGTATCGTGTAGATAAGAGCAAACTAAGTGAAGACTTGCAACAAAAGTTCGTGCAGCTAGAGCCCGATGACGAAACCAAAGAATTCCTCTCATCATCAATAGATAAATCCACATGGGTGTGGACACAGATCTGGTACCTGCTTGCTAAAGCGGTGCTCAAACATTTTTGGACAATTACAGATATCAACGGGTAAGTCAATATATATGTACATTTTAAATTATTTTAAATAAAACTATCTTTTCGTATTTTTTCGCGGATTTATTTGGATTTTTGGTTCCCAACGTTTCGAATGCTTTACAGCATTCATGGTCACGGGAGAGACTGAGGTGTTAGATGTCTCGAAGGTATAGTTGTTACAGACAGCCTACCCACAAATAACAAAATGAAAATTGCACCAATTACCTTACAATATTTTTTAACTTTAAATATTTTTATAATTTTAATTTGTTTTATAGGTAATTGAATATGGAAAATTATTTATTTAATTTTTTGCTGTTATTATTATACGAGTAATTATTACAATTTAAAAAATATTAATTATTATATTTGGTGTTGCCATTATATATTTATAACCATAAAGAAAAATATAAAATATAATATTAATTATTTAAGCCATATAATAATATGTGTAATTTAAAAAGTTAATATTAATTAAGGATTATATTTTTAATTTTGCTTGCTATTATTTAAAAAGACAAATTACTAAGCAACACTATTGCTATATACTTTTACAAATGAAAAATATTAATCTGATATGCTGTCATTTTGATCTACACAGTAAGAACTTACTACATCTATCTACCTGTCATACATCACATGTAAACATAACATGTTTAGATTTATTATTTGATTTTATTATATTAATAATATACATTTTGTTTAATTGTAATATTTATTTTTGTAATTACATTTATATTTTTGTTGATGTGTTTTCGTAAATTAACCTTGGTTCTTAATGAATCACTTCTTACACAAACGATGAATTGCCATTTGAATCACGACAATGAAACATTATTAGGTGCGTCCAGATTCGTCCAATTACGCCAATTACAATCTCCTGGTAGGCATAAGTACATGTGAGTATATTATTTCCTCATCCATTGTGCCGTATCTGCACAAATTAACTAATTCGAGTCTTCACTAGTTACGAACACGACACCACAACTTATTTTTATCGATAAAACTCCAACCATAAAGTAAATTGTTTTCATGCAATTCCACCGTATCGCTTGTTTGTATCTATTTAATTCTCCACTGCTGTAAACAAAGTAAATGAAAGCGTTTAAATGCTTCGTATTGTACCGATATCCTTTGCCTTTCCTAGTTATTACTTTTATCATTGTCTTTTAAACTAATGTTGGAATTAATGGGTCTGTAGTTTTAATTCTATGATAATAATGTATTAATAACTTTAACTTTAATAATTTATCATTTATTTGTTCGATATTAAACTAAAACAACTATAGAGTATTTTTTGTCTGTTGTCTCTGGAACCGCTGAACCGATAGAAAAGAAGGTTTTAATAGTTTATACGTCAGCTTATATTTATACAGCATTGGTCGAGACTCGTATATGCTACCTACATTTTATTTTCAAAATGGAAAAGAGTTCTTGCGGGACAGAGGGTAAAATAAACCAATTACAAAAGGACTGGATACAGAATTCTAATAAGTGTGATAAATATATAATAAGATTAGGCATGTCCAGTGTCAACCATATTTTCGGTTATTGTAAGTTAACATTTAATATCACTATTAGCGTTCCTTAAACGATTTTCGTTTATCGATATCGATTGATCGATTCGAACATGCACACTAGCCGCGTCCGGAGCGCGCTCTGTGAACGTGCACTGAAAACGATCGTGGCTCCGGGTGTCTATAGCCGGGCACTAATAAATAATTTAAATAAATTGACGGACGAGATTTACTCATTGGCTGTTTCCGTCTCTCAATTACGCTTTATTTATCACTTACTACTTGTCGACCAAAGCCCCGCCGCTGACTCGCAATCGCTCTGCATATTGCTTAGGTGCCGCTAATGTTGATTCTTCAAACGTTTTAATATAGGTCATAGTCTCTGAAAACAAAAAAAAATATTGAGGAAAAAAATATCAATGAAATTATTTAGTTAAAAGTTTACAATTTCCTATTTGCACTAGGACAGGATGCTCTACTATATCGACGGTGATGTGCCAATAACTCCTAAGTGTCATAGTCAATAATTTACACAAACTGAAAAAAAAAACATTTAATCTCTTGACAAGTTCAAAATCAGTAAATATATTTATTCATTAAGGATAATAATGACTTATGCTTTAATAATTACGTTATGTTAATATGTAATAAAACATGTGAATACCTTTAAATTCAAAACGATAAAAAAGTGAATTTCTCGACAAATATTAGTTAGGCGGTATTGGCACTTCGCCGTTGATATATAAAACTATTCGATCCTCTATGTTATTGTTTCTTGTCTTTACTAGTGTGTATTCAGCCTTTTTTAACGTCCCACTGCTGGGCACGGCCCACGGGCCTCCCTTCAATACGAGGGGGATCAGGCCAGAGTCCATCACGCTGGCCATGTGCGAGTTGGCGGACTACACATGTCTTTCGAAAACTTATTGAGTTCTCTCATATATGCAGGTCGCACGATTTTTTCCTTCACCATAAGGCAAGTGATAATCATGTTGGAAATGATGCGCACATGAAAATATCATATGTGCGAGACCCGGGATTTGTGGCTACCACTGCCAGTCTTTACTAGTACATAACGCCAAACAACAATGAAAACACATAAAATCTTTCAAAATAAATACACGTGTTTATTTATAAATATTAATTAATTGACGAAAAACTTTTCTTAATAACACACACCCGAACAAATTATTTATTAGGAAGCTGTTATGATGTTCGTGGCTCCCCTTAAGCAAAATATCCGGGATATTAATCATTGCGCCATAGTTAGGATAAATGACTCAATGAACGCTCGCCTCGAACGCTATTGACTTTTCCGGTATAGATTTCCAAAAGATGTATTTTTAATAAATTTAAATTAGACTAAATTTGTATTGTTTATGTCACGACTAATAAGTAATGACTACACTATAAATATTAACATACATTAATAAAATATCAACAGTAGATTAAATTAATTGAAGCACAACTTTAAAATAAATATTTTTTTATATTATTTTTAATAGATCTGCTTAAATATTGCAATTAGTAACTAAATGAAATGAAACCTTATTATAAATATGTGTATGTTTGTTACTTCATCACGCAGAAATGGTAAAACATGCTAAAACAGTTTTTAATGAAATGATAAAAATATTTAACACCTCCAGGTAAATTTCTAAGAAATTAATGAAATTTCTAAGAAATCTGTTGTTAACTGTAACGCCGGCGTGTCCGCGGTCGTGGAGGGATTAAGGAAGCAACATCTATGTAGATGAATATATATTTTTGTGATACGATAGGTCTGGCAGAATCTCAAGAGATCCAAAGACCTTTAATTTTACAGTATAAAAAAATGGCTGGATCGATTTGGATAGCTTTTAGTGTACAAATAGATTATGACTTGGAATAATACAAATGCTACAGTTAGGATGCAGTCAAGCGAAGCGAGAGTAAGTTGAAATTAAGTAACTTTTTTGGTTTATCCTTATTTGACGCAGCAACGGACAAGTGATTGAAAGTGTTTTTGTTTGCCAATAGTTTATGGGTTGCAGAGTTCTATATATTTCTTTTTATTCTAGTGCGTCTTTGCCTGTAAGTTACAAAGTCGTTTACGTAAAGAATAAATATGTCTTAAAGACGTGAATGAACAAAACAAAAGTATGTCACTGTAATACTTTTTTAGATTTACGTGAATATTTGACAATTTAAATAAACCTATCTTTTCGGATTTTTTGCGGATTTATTTAGATTTTTGGCTCCCGACGTTTCGAATGCTTTACAGCAACCATGGTCACGGGAGAGACTGAGGTGTTAGATGTCTCGAAGGTATAGTTGTTACAGACAGCTTACCCACAAATAACAAAATGAAAATTGCACCAATTACCTTACAATATTTTTAACTTTAAACATTTTTATAATTTTAATTAGTTTTATAAGTTTTATAATTGAATATGGAGTATTATTTATTTAATTTTTGCTGTTATCATTATAATTATTACAATTTTAAAAATATTATTTAGTAATCTATATTTAGTGTTGCCATTATTATATTTATAACCATAAAGAAAAAATATAAAATATAATATTAATTACTTAAGCCATATAATTGTTCTACGTGTAATTTCAAAATTTAAAATTAATTAAGGATAATAATTTAAAATTTGTTTGCTATTATTTAAAAAGACAAATTACTAAGCAACACTATTACTATATACTTTTACAAATGAAAAATGAAGAATATTAATCTGAAATGCTGTCATTTTGATCCACACAGTAAGAACTTACTACACCTAGTAAGTAAGTTCTTACTGTGTGGATCAAATTGTACTGTGTTGATTTGATTTATAAAAGATATTTTTATATTAGGTACCTACTTAGAAAATAATGAAAACAAAAGTTAGTAAAAAAAGTTCACTATTTTAACTTCACTTTGTATACGTTTTGCTCTTCAATCTAATATGTTAAAAAACAACGCACTTCAATCAGTGCGTCAGACGAGACGGTCTTATTGACATGGCCAATAAACTGCCAAAATCAATTGGCTTCACTCCGCATCGACAGCGCATTGTTGTCGCGCGGAGCGACAGCCGTCGATACAAACTCGAAACATTTGCCTTACGACTGATATCAGTCATGTTGACACAGTTTTCTTTACAAATTCACAACTCTAATATATTTATAGGAAAAAAATAAAAGAAATAAATACAATATTACATTATTCTGAAGCCAGATTTATGAATAGCCGGCCATATCACCTTAGAAGGCAAGTCTTTTAATCCAACAGACGAATAACTATAGTATAGAAAGAACAACTTTTACAAAGGTTATTAGTGTCTTCCAAACATCATTTAATACAAACAGATCTATACATACAATATAATAATATAATATATATATAAAATTGTAACTAAGCCGAATCTATACATTAAATATTTTTTTGGAAAATCTTATTGAAATAAACATTATTATCGATACAGTGGCCAAATCTATAGTGTTTAGAATTTTTGTCTGTCT